ACCCCCCCCCCCCCCCCGCCACACACAGAGCGTAAATCTTCATGATCTGTCAAAAATCGCGCTCCTCTTGGAAGCGTGCCCTGTTTGGAGCACAAATACTGACCTTGTAGCGACAAATATTATCCACCTTGCTTAAGGCGGTGTGTACAGAAACACATCCATGCTTTTTCATTGGTTTACTTGGAGCAAAACTCGACGCCAGTTGCAACTTCCTGATGAACGAAACGCGTTTTTGGCATGGATGGTTTAGTTGTCTACAGTGCACGACAATTATGTTCGTTAAATTTGCCAGTCAATAGACAAGTAAAAAAAAACTCACCGAATGTGATTGGCATAAGCAGCCCTTTGATCCAACGTCACTCCAGGTTCCAGTTCATCTTCGCTTTTTAGTCTTAGTGAATGGATTTCCCCATCGTACCTTCCATGCAACTGCGCCATTGTCTCTTACGTTGGCATATAGGAGTATGTATCCGAAAACATCAAATTCTCTGGAAAAATGCCGAGAGTTCCCTTGTCATTGTCGTTTTCGGGGATTGCACCTGCGTACACTGTGTCGCCATGTGTAATAAGCTAAACTACTCGTGGAGCCGTCTCCTCTGTGCCTCAAAAAGCGTCTTCTTTAGGTCGGTTTCACGAAGCGCATGGTTTGCGGACTCAGCAGTTGCATTTTCGGGTGCGGTCTTGTTAGGTAATGACAGTAGCTTCGCTATACTCAACTGAGTAAGAGAATTAGTCACACTATTATCAAACAAATGATAGTCTTCCACTTCTATTTAAGGACGTCACGGTTTAGTCAACAGGGCGAAGCTTCATAAATCTTCCGAGAGAATCATGGATTTTGGTTTGCTTTGCATTGTGCCTCAATGTTTTACTCTGCCGCCTCATCAGGATCGGTAATGTTTCCCCGGTGGTGTTTCACTGCATCATTATCACTGGTCGATCTTTTAGTTTCTCTTTCCCGACACAAGTACCCCTTTAATGAACAAGACCCTTGAGGGTACAACCTTGAAGCACACGTTTGTGGAGACTGTAAACATCACTTTCGACAGGTATGCCAGTCATTCAGTTATACGTTTGCTCGAAACCTTGGTGCCTGAAAACCCATGCCAAAATACTTCGTATCTTTATGCACCCACCCTCTGCTTGGATTTTTTTTATCTCTTCGCACTGCAGCCTTCCTTGTCTTTTTCAGTATATACTCTGGCTGGCGGTTTTTTTCGATGCTTCCTAAAGACCCTTGATAAACCTTGGTTTAGATGTCCTTACTGTGATTTTCGGTCTTTCTTTTGCCGGAACCCTCCAGCTCCGCTTCCAAAGTACATACACCTAGGCACGACACTACCAAGAAATGAGTATATAACTCTACATACTCGTTACTTTTGATACTGTTGAACACCTGGCTCTTGTTCAACAACTATCGGCTCTATATCTAGTTCTCGAGGCGGTTATTTTTTCATATTCTCTAGGAGAAATCGCTTTTGGTTCCTTTTTTGAGCCACAACCATCGCAAAGACTGCGTCGAAACAGGTTAAATGTAATCTTGATCTTGTTCCACAAACTTCTTAGGGCTAGTGAGGAAAATGATCAATGATCTCCACGTCTGTAAATGTGAACACTCATATCGTCCTCGTCCCTCCGAGGGTACTAAGATGGTATTGCCACCTTACAACGCCATACACTATAGGAGCGTTGGGCGAACACGCTAATTAGTGGCTGTCACTGTGTGCAGCCGAATCCTCCGACCTGACCCTAAATGCGGCCGCACATGGATTCGATGGTATCGATCGGCGTGCACTAAGTCCAAGGGAGTAACTGGCCCGACAAATCATACCTCCAGTACCAAGTTCCTCGTGTAATCAGCCTCCGTGTTTCTTGCTGGGGATTGGCGTTTCACGTTCACATCACTGGTTCGAATAGTCCTGATGCAGTTATTTGGGCGAGCCCACACTAAAGCGGGGAGCACCAGACTCGAGTTTTGCTCTTAGATCTCATCAGCAGTGCTTATCCTTGACTGAACCTGAGTTTGAACTCCTGACATCTGGCATAGGAAGCAGGCTTGTTAACACTACTCCAGTGCTTGCTGGACATGTCTTCCTTTTCACACCTGAACAGGCAAATCTTCACGCTTGGGCGATGTGATTCGTTTGCCCAACGCCTCGAACGACAACCCAGTAACTATCCTAGTTGTGTCGGTGGCCCATCGGGACTTTCCGGTCAGGTAGCGCCCCGGACTTTATGAAACCTGCTGGGCGATTGCCAATTAGTTATTCGTGGTTTCGGGATTTGTAGAACTCACGCACATTTCACTCTGAAGTTGGCAAACAGGTCGCCCTTTTCTTGGCCTCACTGCTCCCAAGGTGGAAGGGGAAACACCCGATCTCTCCAAGCAATTGAATTTTTGTGCCGCGCGATTGTGGCCTTTGAAACACCATTTCATCATCTTAGAAGTCAGCACCGTGCTTCCTTTGTACTGATCATCCACGCAATAACTTCACCTCTGATGTGTTTGTTGTAAGAGAGTCTAGGTGACTCGTTATCGCCTTTCATCTGACCAGATCGCGCTGTGTTTATGAATTCGTATTAAGGAGAGGATACATCATGTTGGTTACTGCGCGTCACCCTACTGTTACGTTTATGTATCCGTGGATACACGTCCCAAAGTTACCTATTGCACGCTGACTCGACAAGACTGGCTGACTGCTATCTGTGTGCTGAATTTGCCGAAGCCATACAAACATTCGTCGTGCGGATAAATTAATGGTAAAACTTACAGAAGATAGTGCTTGAGCGATAGGTGAGAACATCCCGGCTGGTCGATTGGCGTATCCAGAGCGGACAAAACTAACCAACCATGTGAATAACTGAATGAGAAACTTCGTTATATATATATATATATATATATATATATATATATATCGTTTTTATGTCGCTATTTTTCATCCGTTTCACAGACCGACATTTATGAATCGCTGGAGCAAGAAATCAACACGCTTCCTTCGATTGCCTGCTTGGTGAACAACGTTGGTCTGTCGTATCCACATTTCGCGCGTTTCTCTGATGCGAGTTTCATTAATATTGAGTTTATTCGCAACATGATCAATTGCAATATGACATCCGTCGCCAGTCTCACGCGAATCGTCCTTCCTCGTCTGCTTAAACAAGCGAGCTACGGATCAGCTATTATCAACCTGAGTTCTTTTGCTGGCCTAGTTCCTTTACCTTACCTCAGTCTTTACAGTGCTTCGAAGACATTTATCAAACAGTTCGTGCAGGCCCTGATTCCAGAGGTTGGAACTTCAAAAGTCTACATCCAAGTTGTCTGTCCTATTCTGGTAGCGACTACACTTTCGGGAGTCAAACGCCCCAGGTTATTCGCACCACTGCCTGATAAGTTTGCAGCCAGCGCATTGGACATGCTAGGTGTGGAGCCAGTCACTTCAGGCTATTTACCTCACGCGTTACAAGCGTTTGTCCTATCGATCCATCCAAAAATAGCGGCTTTGGCGGCGCATATTACATTCCAGAAGGTCTCCAAGCGAAAACGAGAGTAGACAAACGGTGGCGTTAGGCTCTCTGTGTTGCTAATCCCAAATTGTGCGCCGTGTGCAACAAAAGACACGTTCAGTGAATGGTTTGCACGCCATCAGCCTACTTCGTTTCATATTACCTATGTATCTCCTTCTCTACGCTGTGTCCTAATATGCAACCAGTTGGTACAAATTTGTTTCTTCTCTTTCATTCCAGCTTTAAATAGATAGCTTTTCCCTTGAAACAGGCAACAATACGATTCAATAAAATTGTTGCCGTGAGCCTGCGTGAAGAACTAGCTAGAGCCAATGGGTTGCTAGGGTTTATGAATCTCCCATGGATCTTAGCTTTACTGTCAAGACCGAATGAGAAACAAGATTGCCAGCTCAGTTATGTGTAGCAATGGCTGTCCGTATAATGTGCTAACCAATTGCTTTTTGTATTCAGGAAGAAAGTCTGGTCGGTTGTCGTAACTAAACTATCTTTAAAAAGGGTGAATTCGGTCAATTCTGAACAGCGTGTGATTCGCAAATACAAAGCTACTGTGGCGAAATGGAAAACAAACATAAATCGCATCTTTGCGACGGTTTGTGTGACGTAATGGCCATGGTCAAATCAAGTCAAAAAGAGTATTCGGAAGTGAACTTGGAAGATGCATTATTGCAGCGAAGTTTGATGAGTATAAGGAAACGGTAGGCTCATGTAACCTTAATCCATAGCTTTGTACCGTTGAGAAAAGAAATGTTAATAGTTCACTGGATTACCTGAGAGTGGAGTGGGTTATGGATGCTTATAAACGGAGGTCAGCTTAAATTGTGACCAAATGTCAGCGCCTGTAAGGGTCACATAGAAGGAAGAACTTGTAGGACTTCACATAGGATTGCCATGGAGATCATTAACAAGCGTCGCTATACTAGCTGACCATCAAGCATGCTAGTGTAAACGTTGATATTGGTAATGTGTCGGTCTATTGGTAGCTCGGGTGAGTTTATTGGTTGTTGACTTGTTCGCCGGGCTTGGCAGTTGACTTGTAGACGTTTCGTCGCTGTACGGGGAGGTAGCCCTCAAATGCTACATAAACGCACTCAGGCAAATAGGAGGTACCCACCCAAATGCGCACTTCGGATGTCTCCTCGTACGGTGACGAAACGTTTGCGAGTCAATTGCCAAGCACGGCGAACAGATCAACAGCCACCTGATCAAATGCCAATAAAGTTTTGAGATTCCACAAAAGTTCCACCTACACACATCCTTCATAGGCAGTAAAATGACACATCAGTCCCCGTTAGGTAGTCTGGGTAACAATAAATACAGTTTTTAAGGGCCATGAAGCTTGAAAGTTGAGTTGAGGCATCCCAAGTCTGAGTGCATAACGTTAGATTTCAGACCGTAGTGGAACGGAAACCAACGTGATGGAGCTATCCGAGGCACTTGGTATGAAGGATATTGGAATAGGAAGATGGGAAGTATTGCTGAACACGTCTTTGCATAGTCTTCTACGACATTTCAGGACGGAGTGACATCACACGGCGAGCAAATTAGGCCTGACCAGAGGACTCGTCAACTTTTGCCTAATCGTGTGTACAGAAGATGAGTACACTATCAGCGTGTGTGTTTCGGATAAATGAAATCGGTGTCTTTTCGTTGACTAGATATGTATATGGGCCTGGAATTTTCAAAAATAAATCAAATTAAAATAAACTCTCAGCTTAAGAGGCCACATAGAAGAGAGGAGAACTTTAAGAGTACCAAAACTTCTAACTTTCGGTTTGAAAGAGGCAGGTGCCTCCCGAATTGTGCGTATCTCGGAGAAAAACAAAATACTCATCTAAAAACTGAAGCGTAACTAACTGGTTATTTCAACTATTTCTTGACAAGTTAGCAGAAAAAGCTCGGTTTCAGTGGGCTTTCTTGGTTCAGTGTTCCCTTGCGCTTTGTGTGTCGGGCGAAGACCGACGACCATGTGCGCAGGTCAATCAGGACAACGACCAGTCAACCTCAGAATCAGATTCAACAATCCTTTAAATTTTTACTAGTTCATGGGTTTATCGGCGTGTTGGGTGTATTGCGAGTCCTATCAAGTGGAAGATGTCATACTGAAATCGGATAGTTCATAAAAGATTGAGCAACCAGAAGAACTCGAGTAGCTGAGGTAAACACAATGCAGCCAACAGCTGAGGATTACGTGCGGGTGTGATCGCGTGCACAGTGATTTCAGAAATAGCGGACTTTCTTGATGCCACGTCGTAGTCTTCGCTAGTAGTTGTTAGGCGCAGAAAAGAGCATCAATGTTCTGAGAGCATTGTCCTTCATTGGAACGAGCAGAAGAGTAAACATTTGTAAAAAAAAAACCAGGGTGATTCCACTGAATAATTTATGTAAATATATACAGCAAGATTTCTCTGAGTTGCTCTGGAGATACGATTTTGGATAAGCCACGATGTTTTGTAAGTTGTAACAGGTGCTACTGAGTGCCGTAGTCTTGTGAATTATATGACTAAACTACACAAATTTTCTCGATTGCTATTCGAAATAGTCAGCTGGCAATTTTCGATTAATGCCGCTGCATAGAGTAGATTTTGTGGAACTGTGTCAAGCTCAGTTATTTCCGGCTATTCGGAACGGTGGACGCATTAAAATCCGTGATGGTCCTTTAGTCTTGACTTGACAGTAAACCTTTTCGTAACCACGTGTTTCACCTTCTCTAATGGCTCTGAATCCAGAGTTGAACTGCCTCACATATGGACTGACTGTACAAGTAAGGAATACTGTGAAAGTGAAAATGGAGAGCACAGCTGCTTTCCCAAAGAAGGTGAGAACAAATTCAATGGTGGACTGCTTAGCGCCAGAAATGATACACTCCAAGTAACTGCATTCCCTCACCTACATACTGCCTGAGGTGAATTCTCTCTAAAAGTATTTCCTTCAGACTTTGGAAAAGGCTGCAGCTTGCGGGTTTTTAATGCGGTTTTCGCCGTTCATTCCTCTTCACCCAATAGTTATCTAGCTCTTGACGAAGACAATGAGGTATGAAACAAAGAAGGACCCTCGTTACTTATGCTAATGCTAATGTCACCCAATGATAGCTACTAGAAAGATATCATGCATGGCTCTCGGCAGGTGGCAAAGACTGGAATGTTTGAACCTCTTTCCAACTAACTGTATGGGTTATATGATTGTCAGAACATAAAGATACTTTATGGTCTTCCTGATTTAAAATCCTAAAACAACATCTTGGCTGGTCTTAAGATCAACCATACTGCTATTCGTCTTGGATGGAGCAATACAAACTCAGGCAACAGTGTACAAAGGGGAAATTTGAACATATGTTTCAAGCATTTTTGGGTGCAAGAGAGTCATTGTCTCAACATCCGCAGTTAAAAACTATCGCAAGGCTGTTTTCATGTTACTGATGGTCCAGTGCATTTACCTCAAAGCTATACAAACGAAACAAAATCTTCCCCCAAACACTCACAAACGCTACTCAGAGCGACCAAATTCACCTGATTTTCATTAACTCCATTGAAAAAGTATGCAATACTTTCCTCATTATTCACTCCTTTTTAGAGGAAATAACCCAACCAATGGATTAGCTTTGTGCTTCTTGGATTTTCCTCCTTGAGGAGAAGCAAGTGAGAAGAATGCAGTATTGGAGCAGTGATCAGGGCAGAGGGCCCAAGTGCAGTCGTCCATTCGTATTAAAACGATTCAGAACACCAATCGTTAGGTCTCTGATTTCTATTACTGAATTATTTTGTGGATGAAATTCTCTTGTTAACACCTCTCCGACTCGTTTTATCGATATTTCTGCGTGAAAAGTGACAGTCCCATTGTTTCCATTCGATCTGTATTCATCCGAAGAATTCTCTGACGATGCCAAAGTTTAATTTATATGTTTATTCAACAAATTCATACTTTTCAGACGCAATGAAGTATTGTTTGCTCTGTTACACACGGCGGCTTCGCTTAGGCTTTGTTGTATAATTTAAACCGGTTTGTTCAAATGAACCAGGGCCATAGGTCGCAAAATAATTTTGATTATAAGCATATCGTATGAACGATTCGTGATGGCACTTCAAATACCACTGAAATCAACGCGCAAAATTACGAAAACAACTTGAAGTGATGCAAACAGGATCGCACATCACACAGGCGGAAGTTTTGAGCGAATGCACCATCTGCCTTTTTGCTATTTAGCACTTGCAATTGTTGGTCGTTGGCTTGCTCGCAAAGCTGGGCAATTTGATTGCAGACGTTTCATCACCAATCGAGGTGACATCATCAGTGCGTTATTGGGGATCGTAGTGGTGCGTAGCGCTGATGACGTCGCCTCGACTGGTGATGAAACGTTTGCAATCAAATTGCCTAGCTCAGCGAACAAGCCAACCACCATCGGCGCTACCTGAGCTATCACCATTTCCCTCTATAGAAAACTTGCCATTGTATTCCGAATGGCTGAGGGTTTGTCAAGTTAAACAGATAATATCTTTTTCCGTGTTGGTTTGGTGGTAGGAACAATGCAGAATGTTGTACAGTTATCTTGTCAACATTAGCTCCTCAATTCGCAATCAAGGGGACTTTTTATTAGGTTTACCCGGAAAAAAGTGATATTTATGGTATGATATTGCTGACTCGATGACTTGATGTTTTGGACAGAAGACTACACCCGGCATTAGGCTGAATCTTCTAAGAAAGGAAGTGTAACCACTAATATAATGAATTGGAGTGAATATCTTCCCTTTTGCTGTTCTGGTACTCATTGACTTTTAGTGATTGCTGATTTTTAGGGCTCATCTCATTCAACAATGTGCACAATTTTGTCTGTCCTAATTCTGATTGATGAGTACTGTAGTACAGCACATTATTTTCCAAGAACGACCCTTCCTAAAAGAAGCTACTCAAATAGGGGGTCGAATGCCCCCTGACATATTTTGTGATCTTTTTTCAGTGCGACATTTCATTCCGTGCTTTCCTCTGTTAGCCATAGGTTTTTAATCCAGCTTTTGTCAAATTAACGTCCTTGTTAACCAGTCTATATGACATGCACTACAGCATTTTATTATCCTCACATGTTTGTTCGCATGGCTAACCAGCTTCAGGTATGATAAAATGCTCATGGCAAACAGACCTTTACACTCATGCAGCATTCTTTCTCGGGAATGTTACTAGTAATCAACCTTCTTGTT